GCTGCGTACGAAAACCCCACGAACATTGTCGCCTGTGAAGTACTGCATGTCCTGCCCTGGGGAAAGGTGCGTTGCGACGGCGTGAGCCTATTACCAGTGTCTGCTGCATCTCGTTATGATGCGCTACCTCAATGTCAAGTTGTATGGCACGGACAAATATGTTTTAGGCGGTGTACGCGTGTACACACTTTGCCTTTTAGTGGAGTATCGAATTGGGTGCGGCATCACGCTCGACTCCCTGAATATCCTGTGTGGCATGCAAACGTTTTACTACACGGCAAATACACTCATTCTGTTTGCTGCACCTGTTGTTGTTGTTGTTGTTGTTTTTGTTTTTTTGTTTTTTACTCTGATGCGCGCGTGAGTGGTGCAAGATAGCAAGATAAACTCTTTCGCTTGNCACTTTGCCTTTTAGTGGAGTATCGAATTGGGTGCGGCATCACGCTCGACTCCCTGAATATCCTGTGTGGCATGCAAACGTTTTACTACACGGCAAATACACTCATTCTGTTTGCTGCACCTGTTGTTGTTGTTGTTGTTGTTTTTGTTTTTTTGTTTTTTACTCTGATGCGCGCGTGAGTGGTGCAAGATAGCAAGATAAACTCTTTCGCTTGCTCGCCGAAGGAAAGCGACGGACGCCCCCGTCACTTATTTCGTTCTGGGACTCCGGTCACCCGTCGTTGGTTGTCCGCGCGGCTCTTAGGCCTGCTCATGGTGGAAAGGGCGGCGGCTCCTGTACCGTTATTGTGTGTTGGAATACTGCAGAGAGGCGCGTCTGTCGGCGTACACAAGGCTGTGTTGCAAGACAAAAGCAAACAACACAGCCACAGGNCATCTCATTTGGGTTTTTAAACGATTATGACAAAGGCGTGGAGGTTCTCCTGGGCTTACGCGGCGTGCTCCTTCACAATCTTTGCCACAATCTCGCTATGCGTTTTTTTCTGCTACGTCGTATTCGTGTTGCGTCGCCGTCAGCGACAACAGCGCTCGGTAGAATCTGTTTTTCAGCAGCGTCATCAGCAGCGCCAACAGAGAATGCAAGACCGTCGCGTGTACGCAGAAAATATGCGTGCGTTGTTTCTCTTCTTACAGTCTGACATTACAACATTAAACACGACTGCAATCCCTCCCGCCGCACCAGCTGCAAACCCCTTTTCCGGCCCAGCAAGTGGTGCGACAC